CCTTCACATTGTTGTTGTTATTTTTAAAGACTGATGCATATTGTAATTATATTTCAGACTTGCCTTCAGAATGCAACAATCTGTGGAAATGGACATTCTCATATGGCATGGGCTTAAAGAAACAAAATGGCTAAATAGTGCTCACTTGAAGAGCAAACAGCAGCAGGAGGTGTGACAACAGACAACACCCACTGAAATGTAACCACATTTGTGACAAACCACCCACCCAAACCTGGGATTTTGGTACTAACAAGTCTGCACATCAACACTGTTGATGTATAACCAATTATTTTTATTGGATTAAATGTAACAAAAGCACAGGTTGGTATTCTGATGTGGAAACACTGCATAAAACTTGCATAAAGTTCTGAGATTCTATGATAAACTTTTATCTGAAACCATACTAAAAACATGTATTTAGTATTTCTCTCTGTGATAATCATCAACTGTGATCTGCTGATGGGCAACACTCTGCACTGGGCTGTACATGTTAGACATTTCATATGATATTGGGCTGAGCCCAGGCATTAAAATAGGGGCTCGGGTATGTGTAACAACTCTGGCTCTAATTAAGCCATTGGTACCATACCTGCTCCTGCCAACCTAGCAGTTCGAAGGGACCCTCAGGCGTTATCTAGTCCAACCTCCTGCAATACAGGAATCACAGGTGAAGAATCCCTGGCAGGTAGACGAAGGAGGTCAATGACCTTCCAAGGGAACCCATTTCACTGTTGAACAAGTTGCCCTGTCATTTTACCAGGAAAAGCTTTAACAGTCTGGATGCAGCCATTAGGCAAATCAGTCTCCCTTGCTCTAAGGTTGCCCCAAAATCAACAAACGTTGTTTAGGATGTGAAGCTAGCCATACAATTATACTGCTTGTGGGACTCCACTTTATTGCAACAGTCCTGTAAAATCCACATTTCCAGGTACACAAGATACATCATGCAAAACGTCATTTAATAATCTAAGGTGTTTTGTGCAATCTGCCATCCTATTGTGCAGATGTTTTTGAGCAAGTGGCTGTGATAAAAAGAAAACTCACACAGAGAGAATAAAAGTATCCTTTTTGCCCAGATGCCAACAGTGGACAAAAACAGTCATATGAATTTGCCCCTAACCTGTAATTTTAACACACAACCTTTTATTTGGTACTGATTAAGTTGATCTCTACTCTTCTTTTCTCCAAAATCCTTTTCTCTAATTGTATTTGTTGCTTGAGTAACAAACGTTTACCAGAACATTCAATGCTAAATTCTCAGTGCTGTGGTTTTTGAAGAGTGGAGAAAGGAAACTACATGGAGTTTTGTATACCAATGGGAGCTATTGCATGTAAACCTGAGGAAATTATGCTGGCATTGTTTAAGAAGCTCAGATAGCTACATTTAGAATAGTGCACAGTTTCAGTCACCTTATTACAAAAGGATGTTCCAGGAATGGAGAATGTACAGCAGGCGGTAACAAGATGCACACAGGGATTTGAGGCTCTTAGTTATTCAGCAAGTTATCCTTCAGCAAACGAGAGATTAAGAGGGAACCTCATTAAAGTATAGAAAATTCCAAGGGGAATAGTGAGGATAATTGTTTCAAGGCAATTTGAGATAGTGTCAAATACAAGAACAAGGGGGCACCAACTTTTGATAAAGAAAGAACTTCAAGCAGACAGTTTTTACATAGAGAGTAAATTATGTACTGCAATGAATAAATGATCAAAAGCTTCTAAAATAAATAGCTACAGACCTTTTAGAAATCAGCCAATATGAGTTCTGTATTTCAAAATGTATGCTTATAAGATCCCAGTTTTTATTATGTTTGTTTCATCCCTTACAGCTACCTAACCAGCCACCTTGCATATTTATATGGATATCCCCATTCTAATCTCAAAAACAAAGACTATCAGTGCAATGGGAAAGATATTTTTTAAAAGTGGCAAAAATGAAGATCAGGAGGTTGGAGCAACTTCCATGTGAAAAAAGCCTATAGTGTTTTTGCCTTTTAATTTTAGAAAGAGATGGTTAACAGTACAATCCTATGCATGCCTACACAGAAGTAGATGCAAGTGAACTCAGTGGGGTCCCAGGCAAGTAAGTACGTACAGCTTGCTGTTGTAATCCTTATCCTACACCAGGGGTCAGCAAACTTTTTCAGTAGGGGGCAGGTCCACAGTCCTCAGACCTTGTGAGGGGCTGGACTATATTTTGAAGAAAAAAATGAATGAAATCCTATGCCCCACAAATAACCCAGAGATGCGTTTTAAATAAAAAGACACATTCTACTCATGTAAAAACACACTGATTCCTGGACTATCCGTGGGCTGGATTTAGAAGGTGATTGGACCGGGTCAGCCCCCAGGGCCTTAGTTTGCCTACCCATGTCCTACAGCCTACATTTTACAGGTGAAATTCAAAAAATTTGAATATCATGGAAAAGTTCATTTATTTCAGTATTTCAACAGAAAAGGTGAAACTAATATATGAGATAGACTCATGGCATGCAAAGCAAGATATGTCAAGCCTTTATTTGTTATAATTGTGATGATTAGGGCATACAGCTGATGAAAACCCCAAATTAACAATCTCAGAAAATTAGAATATTAAATGAAATCAGAAAAACAAGGATTGCAAATAGAGCACTATTGGACCTCTGAGAGGAGAAGCATGCATATGTACTCAGTACTTGGTTTGGGCCCCTTTTGCATCAATTACTGCCTCAATGCGGCGTGGCATGGATGCTATCAGCCTGTAGCACTGCTGAGGTGTTATGGAAGACCAGGATGCTTCAATAGCAGCCTTCAGCCCTTCTGCATTGCTCAGTCTAATGTCTCTCATCTTTCTCTTGGCAATGCCCCATAGATTCTCTTTGGGGTTCAGGTCAGGCGAGTTACTAGCCAATCAAGCACAGTAATCCCATGGGCATTGAATCAGGTTTTGGTACTTTTGGTAGTGTGGGCAGGTGCCAAGACCTGCTGGAAAATGAAGTCAGCATCCCCATAAAGCTCATCTGCGGAAGGAAGCATGAAGCGCTCCAAAATCTCCTGGTAGACGGCTGCGTTGACCCTGGACTTAATGAAGCACAGTGGATCCACATCAGCTGATGACATGGCTCCCCAAATCAACACAGACTGTGGAAACTTCACACTGGACTTCAAGCATCTGGCATTCTGTGCCTCCCCAATCTTCCTCCAAACTCTGGGTCCTTGGTTTCCAAATGAGATGCAAAAGTTGCTCTCATCAGAAAAGAGGACTTGGGATCACTGAGCAACAGACAAGTTCTTTTTTTCTTTAGCCCAGGTAAGACGCTTCTGAAGTTGTTTCAGCTTGACAAGAGGAATACGACATTTGAAGCCCATCTCCAGGATCCGTCTATTTGTGGTGGCTCTTGATGCACTAACTCCAGCCTCAGTCCACTCCTTGTGAAAGTCCCCAACAAGTTTGAATGGTCTTTTCCTGACAATCCTCTCCAGGCTGCGGTCATCCCTGCTGCTTCTGCACCTTTTTCTTCCACACTTTTCGCTTCCGCATAACTTTCCATTAATGTGCTTCGATACAGCACTTTGGGAACATCCAACTTCTTCTGCAATTACATTTTGAGACTTTCTCTCCTTATGGAGGGTCTCAATTATGGCTTTCTGCACAACTGTCAGGTCAGCAGCCTTCCCCATGATTGCGCTTCCTACTGAACCAGACTGAGAGACCATTTCAAGGCTCAGGAACCCATGTGTTATGGATTGAATAGCTACTGCACCTTTTCACAATATTCTAATTTTCTGAGATTGTTAATTTGGGGTTTTCATCAGCTGCACGCCATAATCATCACAATTATAACAAATAAAGGCTTGACATATCTCGCTTTGCATGTCATGAGTCTATCTCATATATTAGTTTCACCTTTTAAGTTGAATTACTGAAATAAATGAACTTTTCCACGATATTATAATTTTTTGAGTTTCACCTGTATTTGTATACGACTTTTCTCCTCAGGAGGAACTCAAAGCAGCCACAAACAAACAAAACAGTACAAAACATTATCTGACAATTCAGTAAATAAGCAATATCCATAAAATATATTAATAAGCAAAAGGATAATAGAACACACACATATTTTAGCCACAAAATATATATTTACACACTCATTCCGGCAGCCAATATATGGTGTAATGTTCAAGATGAAAAATCCACCCTAGAGCCAGAAAAAGTCATGCAAAAGTAGTCACCACCAATTAATTTGGTAATTGCACAGAATAAAAATGGCCACCATACTCCAAATCCCATATCATTCCTGCTCCACCGTCTCACTACACTTTGGTACAAAAAAAGGAGATGCTTGTCACATTGCTCTGCTGGCAGTTGTGGCTTCACAGCCCAGCCTGTAACATTTACCACCATGGCTATGTTTTACCTTCTCGGTCAGAGGAAACATGCATCTGAATGCCAGTTGCTGGGAATCACAAGTGGGGAGAGTGCTATTGCACTCAGGTCCTACTTCCCTGCTTCCCAACGGCCACTGTGAGAACAGGCTGCAGGACTAGATGGACCACAGGCCTGATCCAGTAGGCTTTTCCTTAGTTTTTGTGTACCTGGAAGTAAGCCCCATATGACTCAGTGGCTCTTTCTTCTGAGCAGGCTTACAGAGAATTGTTTTAATAAACGAATAAATAATAGAAATCTATAAAATAAAAAACAGTATGGAGAGAGTGCAAAGAGAATCTCTCTCTCTCTCTCTCTCACACACACACACACACACACACAAACAAACGCATTGTGCTATATTAAGAGTCATTCAATATAGTTAATCAGAAGGAAACACAAGCATAATTTCTTTAGAGCCTGATACAAACCTGTAGCATGGATCCCCTCTCACATTCATGCCAGCAGCTCATCCCATACATACATAATACATTCTGTTGGTGCATATATATATAGAATCATAGAATAATAGAATTGTACAGTTGAAAGGGATCAAAAGAGTCATCGTCCAACCACCTGCAATGCAGGAATATTCTGCCCAACGTGGGGCTCAAACCCTGACTGAGATTAAGAGTCTCATGCTCTTCCAAATGAGCTACCCACAGTGGCCAATCAGATGATTCTGCTATAGGTTTCTCTGCCATGGGCAGTCTATGATGTGGAACAAGGGTGGGGAACTGTATAGCATGACATCATGAGGACAAGAAGGGATAATCAGAAAAACATGATGGGCACCCCTATTTTTGGTTATGAGCTCATGCTTCACAAGACATATAGTTCCACCATTCCAGTATGGGTTTGCATGTGAACAGTGCGTGGCACTTTTAAAATTTAGGGAGGTACATTCTCTGCAAACGTTACGCAACTTTTCCATAGTTTGCCAAAAATACTTTTGTCCTAAAATGTTCTTGCCTGTCCTCTGCATGACTTTGCTCCAAAGAAACATTATTACTTAAAATTATCGCTGTTTTTAAAATCACTATAACTATGTTTTGAAATTCCTCTTTTAAAATAATTTATTATAGCCCCTTAAATACATTAGAAATGCATCCTATTGTTTATGGTAGACTTAGTAGCTTTCTATAAAAAGAAATTCATATATATAAAGGAAAATTCCTGGTTGCCAAGATCCATGTTTGGGGCAAGTACTCTTTGGTGAGAGAACCCCCTGCCTGCAGAGATTTAAAATCACAAAATACGCAGCGAAGCATAGAAATATAAGTTGTAAAACCTTTAAAATATGCCTTCCAAGGAAGTTCCAAAATTGCCCCCTTTAAAAGTAACTTACAAAGGTTCCCTCTCACCCCAGCATATTTTTTTTAAAATAATGTTTATTACTTTTATAGATTACAAAAAGAGAAAAAAGAAGAGGGGAAAAAAACAGAAAAAAGACAAAGAAGGAAAGCAAAAAGAAAAAAAAATACAATATGTAAACAATGCGAAACACATTCAAAACAAAAACAATTTAAAAACATACATCCTCTCTTTTCCGTACTCTATCTTTCATTCCCTTGTTTCCTCGACCTCCTCTCACCTCCCTTTTTGTATTCCACTTCTTTTAATTGTTTCAGCAAATCCTTTCCATCTTTCTTCATTTTCTATCATATTGTAAATAACGTATTTTTTAACCTTATTTTCCATTAAAACTAAAATACTTATATATACTTAACTCCTTATAACATTTCTGCTAAGCCCATAAAAAATCATTCCACCATTTTTCTATCACTCATTAGTTTTACCATAAGTCTATATATAAACTTTAAATTTTCCAATCTTCTTCCACCATCTCCTCTCCCTGGTTTCGGATTCTGCCAGTCCTTTCCGTCAACTCCATAAAGTCCATCAACCTGGTGATCTTATGTCTGAGGCTCTTAACTCTTTTCCAAGTCCCTTCTGCAGGTCTTCTTCATTTTCTTTAATGCTAAAGAGCAAATCTCGGGGAAACTCCAACCTGTCAATCCTTTTCTTCCTTCTGAACAAATCAGCCAAATTTCCATAGTTAAAGCTACAGTCCATAAAGTATTTCAGGGCATATTTCAAAATTCCTCCAAGTCCAAAGGCCCCCAAAACTTCAATCTCCTCCAGGCCCGAGTCCCAAAAGTCAGTTAATCCCTGCATAGAGGGATCTTTCCAACTTTCCTTCTTTCGTCCAAGCCGGGGTCCATTCCTCAGAGTCTGACTTTTCCTAGATTCAATCATAAAAGGCCTCAACTTATAGTCCTCAATTTGCTTCTGTAAAGCCATGGATCTCACTTGTATTACTTTATGTTCAACATAAAGCTGAACATGCTGCTGTTATGTTCAACAGCAGCATTCTCCTTCTCCTCCTTCTCCTCCACCATTTGTCCTGCCAAAATGGATTCCTGTACCAAGTCCTGAATTATTTCTGTGTTGACGTTCGCTTTTTGACTCAAATTAGTCACTTTCTGTTCCAAATTATCAACTTTAAAAGTCATGTCATCCATCTTCTTGTGAAGCTGCCCCAGCGAACAGCTTATCTTACATAAAACAGTCACAATGGCCTCTCCTGTCAACATTTTTAAATGGTCCAAGGTCGCTCTCTGGTTCTCAGAATCCTTATTTGCAGCTGGAAATCCCCCAGTTACCGTCCTGTAACAGTTTCAAAAGCTCCCTCTAGAGGGAAACAGTCTCCACTTGTATCAGTTCTTTCAGGCACAACTCAAGCATTAAAGATAAAATTTCAGTTACATTTCCTCTTTTTTTAAACGCAGAGGAGGACAATGAAAACAGTATCTTACTCTTATTTAGCTAGCTGTCAAATCCGTTCTGTCAAATGCACTCTCTCCAAACGTCATCTGGCAGCCCGTTCCCAGGTTCAGAGCAGTGGTAATTTGATTTTTCACTCTCTCCTGCAGGCTCACTAGATCCAAAATTTCCCCCTCTTCTCCTGCTTCCAAGGGGGGGTTTGTATTTTAAACCAATGGAAATTTAATCCTTTGCCAAAAGCTTTCAAAGACTTTAACTTGTAACGTCTTTGCTTCAGTCTATTTACAAAAACGGGAGGCGGACTTCCTGTTTATGACCTCCCGCTTCAGTTCCAAATCAAAGTATTTAAAAATCCAATTTTCCGATTTACTCACGAGTAGTTGTTTAAAATCCAATTGTCCACAGGAAAAAGTCAGCGCTCTCCGGCAACAGCAATGCGGCTTCACTCCGTGAAAAAAGCAGTCGATTCAAAGCACCGCGCCATTCACCCCACATCGCTCCGGATCCCCGAAACCGGGTTTCCCCGCAAGTAAGGGAGGCGCAAAAGGTGCCAGCCGAATCCCACGTCCACAGGCTTCTCCTGCCTGTGGTTTTTAATGGGTCTCCACCTCACCGCGGCGGTCCAGACCCTAGTTCTCACGAAGCGGATTCCTCCTGGTCAGAGGAAATCCGCCATTGCCGGAGGCGCTAACCCGGAAGCCCCTCTCACCCCAGCATAATCCACGTTTGGTAAGTTAAAAATTTGATTAATTACTAACTCTTCAAAAGTCGGGCTCATATGCTTTTCCATACATCAGTCAGAAAAGTTGCACAGGTATTAAAAAACTTAGCTTAGTTACAAAGTGGTAAACATTCCTAGAATATTCACATAGGAACTCAAGAACGGCAGGTGAGAACCACGTGATTGAGAAGGCGCAACCAGCTCAAACTTCTTGATGCACTGAGCTTCTCAGTTAGACTCCATACAACAATAGACATGATTACCTATTTCCTCCCAAGGTGAGGGCAAGTGACACTGCTAAGCCTGGCAGGACAGCTACTTTATGGTATTAACCCATTCATGCATTGATTAGACTTAAGCATGTTGGTGATATGTCTTACGGGACATGCTCATTATGTTTTGCATATTCTGTTGGAAGCTGGCCAGAGTGGCTCGTGCAACCCAGTCAGATTGACAGGTACAAAAAATAAGTTATTGGTTGTTGTTGTTTCTATTTTAATACTAAAATTACATTTTCTGCATTTCCCAAATTACACATTGGAGCTATTGTATCATGCTCTCAAATACTCACACACAACCTTTTCTTTCTTTGTGTTATTTTTAACATAACATCTAGACTCTTCTTCAGACTAGAAGTTTGTCCATCAAAAACTGTTATGTGAGCCTGAGTGTGGAAAAAACATAAATCAGAAAGTTTAACACTATTCTCTTCTGCTTGTAGTGGTGTCAATTATGATACTATGTGAATGCCTTTTGATACCATTAGATTGGAGTTGCATGACACATCTGGCAGCTTTTTTTCCTTATCAATTACGACAGATACACTAGCTATATTGAAATAATTTTCATCTTGTTTTTGTTAATCTACTTTTTAGTTAGTGCACTGCCTGAACCAGATTGCAGAACGTTGTCTGTTTGAAGAACTGAAAGACTGATAGGTGTCCTTTAACTTCTTTTAAAGTTCCTTTTGTTTGAATTTCTGGCATGAGATTTATGCTTTAAAGGCAGACACTGGAGAATGAGGTGTGTATGTGAACTAGGCAGATATTTTGAGACTGTAAATCCTACAAGTATCATGGGCTTCAATGTCCCTTGGTATCAATGTCCCTGGTTATTACAGTGCTTTGTCTCTCCCTCATGCCTAGTTATATAGTAGAGCTGTTGCTTTCAGGTCCTGCTTCTAGGTTTACTGGAGACATCCATTTGAACACTGCAGGAAGCAGGATGCTGGACTTAGACGGAACCTCGGTAAGATCCAGCACACCTTTTTTTCTTTTTTACAGCTTGCCTAAATTCGTGGTGAGTTGTGCATACAGCACAATTGTAAGAATGACATTATGCTTCAACACTGGAAGGAGAAATTTACCTTCCATACAACAATAGATTAACGGTTTGCTGTCCTTGTCCTTATTTGAAGTGGCAATGTATTGACAAAAGTGCGAAGAAGATAAATACAATAACATCTGGTCAGCTTCGGGAGATTTATATATCATAGCTGCAGTCCAATGTATTTGTATTTCCAATTTAGATAGTCAAAATACATTAACCCATGTCCCTTTCCCTATTTTATCTCTTCCTTTTTAATTTTTGCTTGAATGTTACTCTATTTGCATTGTTTAAAAACTTGTAGTAGAAAGCTAAAGCTTTTTTAAAAAACAGTGAGCATGGCCAGCATCCCACCAAATGGCAAACAACATTTTCCCTTAGACTGCCCCTCTCCACTCACTAAAAACCAGGCTACATAGACAACATCCACTTGCAAGTCAATGCTATGGAAATAGGCAGTGCTGGGATAAGTGCCTAGTTCCAAAACTAAAGCTACTGGGATGTGAGAGTCAGTGACTAGCCTTGTAGATGCAGGAATTCCAAGTTCAAATCTCTGTGGTGGGCCTGTCACTGTCATCAGTCTACACTGGGCTGCCTCTTGCATCAAGTAGCCACTTACATCTGAGCTGCTCATGAATTGGTCAGTGTTATTGTTTATTAAGCCCAACTTATATTATGCATACAATACATATAAAAGATTCATGCCCGTGCAGTACTGGATTTTTGCAGCAGCATAATTTTACAGGTATTAATACAATACAATACTGTATACAATAGTATTTGTATACAGCTGTGTGAATTGCTGAATGACTCTCTTTATGTGCTGGTTACTTTA